CACAAAGATCTTGGCCAAAACTCCATAATGCGACCTCAATGGATTGCTTGGCAGACAGCGCGAATTTGCCGTAAAACAAGTGAAATACCTCAAAACCCATGGTTTAAGGTAAAGGAGCGTCTCCATAATCTTTAATGTGATGTTCAACATCATATGATCACTGGTTCCCATTGGTGTCTTCATTATGAGGTCATTGTTTACTCCGATAGCGTTACACATTGCCAAGCCTCTCCCGGTCGACTCCACAGCGAGCTTTTCAAATAGACGATATTGAAAAAATATCTATGAGCTTCTTATTTTGGACTATCCTTGACCGACTGACACCGTATAAATGTGGATTAAGATATCTCGTGATCAGCTCGCACTTCTGAAAAATGAACATTATTTCTGGCTTTATGCTGCACCTACTTCCTGTCGAGAGGTGGAGGATGGGTTCTACAAAATACCCACTTTTTTCTTCTTTTATAATTCCAAATATCCACCCAATCGTGTTCCACATCTTAGGTTGATTTAATTAGATCGTTCCCTCTATTGTTCTTAAAGGTACATTTAAATAACGTAGCTATCCTCCACCATGAATTATGTTCCTGTCCTCAGAAATCTGCTGTAGCCTTTCACATTCTGGTATCATTCCATATATTTCTTTATTAGAGGTGTCTCTGTAAAAGCTATTAGATTGTGCATATTCATTTTTTATTTGCACATTTAGTTTACCAGCTCCATTGTGAATATAATGGGTATTCAGATTCAGGGACACTGAACGCTTTATAGATTTTGTTTATCCTGTAGTCTTGCCTCTTGTATTTTTTTCTTAAAATTGTGTTCTCTACACTCTTATGCCAAGATCAAATAGTCATTTTGCAATATTAAAATGATTTTTTTTTCGATTCTTTGATTTGCCATGTTTTCTGAAAATTTATTACTTGCCCCTACTTCATTAATTTGAAATATCTCTACTCACTGAGTTATGTCGTTTGCATTTGCAAAAGTCTCGGCATCGTTTAGATTAATGTTGTCTCATCGTGAAAATCCGACATTCCCTGTGCCAGTGTTGGCTCTTGACTTCTCCCACATCAACCGTTCAGCAAAGCACGCATCTCTACAAATTGTTTTTTTTTTCCCCAATTCCATGCAGTCCAGGAATAAGCGAAATATTCGGTATGACCATTGACATTCTGCGTCATAATCTCGTGCCTGGTACTCCGATAGATTCTGTAAAACCTCTTTCTTTAAGCCAAGTGTGCCGCTCGTACATTTGTGGCCCACCAAGATGCAATCCTTTCCCTCTCTATTCTCTCGATCTCACTTTAAATACCTCTGCCTCAGACGATATACGAAAATCTGGTTCTAGACTGGCAGCATGTAAGATCCTGGGAGGGATTGATAATGCAGATACTGTGCAGGCCGTCTATCCTTGCTGAATAATCTAAAATGGGTTGGGGGATTATTTCAGAAGACGGAGTCTCATTTAGTATGTATTTGTGGAAGAATTTATTTTCTTTTAGAATCATCATTATTTGGGAATCTCTTTCACTAATGACTAATGCTTCGAATTCATAATGTCTAGTTAAAGGGAGAATGAGACTGAACATCCGAAAATATGAGATAGAGAAAGATGTTTTCTTTATTATTATTATTCATTTGTGGGATGTGGGTGTAGCTGGCTGGCCAGCATTTCTTGCCCATCCCTCGGTGCCCTTGGTAAGCTGGTAGTGAGCTGCCATTTTGAGCTGCTGCAGTCCTCCTGCTGTGGGTTGACCCACAATGCTATTAGGGAGGGAATTCCAGGTTCTTCACTCAGCGAGAGCGAAGGAACTGCGATATATTTCCAAGTCAGAATGGTGAGTGACTTGGAGAGGAACTTGAAGTTGATGGCGTTCCCATATATCTGCTGGCCTTGACCTTCCAGATGGAAGTGGTCATGGGTTTGGAAGGTGCTGTCTGAGGATCTTTGGTGAATTTCTGCAGTGCATCTTATAGACAGTACACACTGTTGCTACTGAGCGTCGAATGTGGAGGGAGTGAATATTTGTGGTTGTAGTGCCAATCAAGCGGGCTGCTTTGTCCTGGATGGTGTCCATCTTCTTGACTGTTGCTGGGGCTGCACTCATCCAGGCAAGCGGGAAGTATCGGTGAGGAAGACTCAGAAACAATCAGATTGCAGAGAACCAATTGCGTTAATTCTTTAACTATCGATGATTGGTCCACAGTTAACATCACATCTGCAAAACCAGACTGTTGCGGCTTGGAGAAATGCCGCTGAGTTTCTCAGTGAGTAAAGCCTGCCGCTAATCTGGTCTCAGTCAATGATATAAGACTACAAGATCCAACCTTTTAAACCATGCGTTGTTTACAGTCGATCAATGTATTCACTGCGTGATTTCCCGATAACAATGCTCATGCTGCCCAGTGAGTGTGAGCTGAATTTGCCATTATGTGTTTCATTGTTTTTTTTTGTTTCTTTTTACACATATATTGTTCATACATTATAATGTTTGTTACAGGAACGAGTGGCCAAAGATTAGTTTCCCAATGCCTTCTTCAATTGAAAATTCATGATGGACAGTCCCCAACATTGAACACCAGCAACACAACAAAATGCGGTGGAATCTCTGGTAAAACTTGTATCCCGGGGTAACTCTAAGATATTTGCTGAAAAGATTCGGGAAGGGAAAGAGAAATCCATTTCTAGGGTTTTCTGGCCAGTTTTCCGTTAATCTGGACCAAGACAAGAATACAGCTCCATAAAAAACCGCCAGCGCACTTGTCATACACTCTACTACATAATTACCGCGCATTGATGCCCACACCGTGAGAGACGCACGGTCAATCCGTTAAAAAAGATGAAAATATTAAAACACCACCTCACTGGCTCGGACCAGTGATCTCCATTATGAAGTATTCATATTGTCAAAAGTTAGAACAGACAGCTTTTACACAGATCTTTTTCTGAGTTACATTCTCGATAGAATCCTTCTCTATCGTGTCGTTTGTTTATAAGACAACTCTTTTCAGGCAGTCTCTGGCAACCAAACGACAACAACGTTCATCGATTCCTATCACTGGCCAAACTCAAGTGTTGGCACTTTTAAGAACCTGCGTGGGCGTTAATTCCCATTTCGTCATTCTGTTATATCACGGGACAGCAGTCATTTTCAGTTTATTTCGGACCATGACGACAGTGTTGTGATCTTAAGGAAAAGGGATTCAGAAGTTATGCGGGAGGGTGGATGCTTCACAAATTGCAAATTGCCCTATTAAATGTCAGAGCATGTTTAAAGGGCCAAATGCTTTTCTGAACTAACGATTGTGTGTATCTGCGACCAATTCTCCGACGTCATTGACTTCAGAAGAGAAGCGTTGTGAGCTCATTGGGTGTTGCGTGGTGCACCTGCCAGAAACGAACCAATCAGCAGTGATTTCGAATATGACTCAACATCTTCCCAAAACTCAGTTGAAACAATTTAGCTTAAAGCCACCATCAGCTCTCAGGGGAGAATATTCGGCTTTACCTCCCAATTTTCAAACGCACCATTCGCTTTCTAAACAAGTCGGCTCTTACCATCTACTCATTTCTAACTGCTACAGTTTTCCTAACTGGTAAATTTCTGAGTCGCAAAATATTCACTTGCATGGAATATGGGTGGAGCAAACTTTTTTTTTGCCTGTGGTGCTCAGCATTGCAATATATGCACTGAATTAGTTAACATTGATTATTCGTTGTCATTTTTAATTTTCTACGGGCTTTAGTGGTGCAGTCTCGATTTCACTACAGCCGGTTACAGTGATACCGAAGGAGAAAAAAATGCAGTGACCATTCATTTCCACTGTTCAAACAGAGCTGATTCATTTACATTTCAACTGCATTCTCAGTGCCCTGGTCAATCTCCGACATTCTTGATCTACATCACTAAACACGAAAAGATCATCAGAGCAATTGGCGTTGGCTTTCGATGTTCTGCATGTCTGGAAGCTCAGAAAACTGAGGGGAATTTCACCATTGATGAGCTGCAGCTGCCGACAATGCGGTGTATTACCGCGGGCTGAGAGACACATTGACTGGAAACAGAAGTAACCCGGTGTAAAAACACTGTCCCTGTCAGAGTCGGGAATAACATTTACTTCCGAAATTTATACAAGAATGCGCTGAATCCAATTAAACCAAAGTAATTACGAAAGCGAGAGACACAGGTGCAGCACTGGGCAAGGTTTCCTCTCCTCACTAACGTTGAATACATTATGAAATCAAGTATGCTGTTAGAGAATGTACACCGTACAAATTAAAGTCATTGCTATCCAATTACTTTCGATTCTACAACTTCTGACATTGTGTTTTATCCGGTAAAGAAGTTGCACAAAGCAACAGCTACAGATCGCTGCGGGGCGCGTTCTAAAATGACAACAGCACTAACAGCTTTATTTGATTCCTGTAGATTTCCAAAAAAACAATTCATTCAATCTTTCTGGTATGTTTTCAGTTCGGCTTTTGACCTCGGTCTGATTACTGGTCAACCAACAACCATTCGAGAACTTGGAGCTCACCAGACCTGTATCACAAGTCACATCTGTATTCATCTCTGTTGATTCGCTTCTCTCTCTATCGTGATAAAATGCGCCCGCTAATACCATCTATACTTGGAATTAATATGTGTAAGTTATTTTAACATTGGGAGATCTGTAATCAGTGTATGTGAATTATTAGGACATTCACTCGGCAGTCTTCTGTGTCTACGCCAGACTGAACTTTCAAATAAAACTGCTTGTTCCTTTGCAGAGAGGTTTTTCTGAAACTGCCAGGCGAGGACAGGTATCGATCCACCTGTAGCATTTGCTTTCCACCTGCCAGATGCGAATTCGTGGAGTTCCCTAAATAAACAGCAGTCGTTTGTTCCTTTATCCAGTCAGTGCCAACGTCAGATTCAGTCATTCATGTAAACGATTTTAAATGATGTGTGTGAATTATGCTCGTAGTTTTCCCTCACCAGAAATGTACAGAAGCGTCACTGTGTGAGGACCAGCTGTAAACAGATTACAGCGGGCAGCAGGTGTGACCCAGAAATCAGCAGCAGTTGTTGTACGAGTCTTTCACTCTTTCCCATCATTGTGAGTCTCGCTGCGCAGAAGTAGACAGCGGAGTCAGACAGCAGCAGCTCCGAGATCGTCAATCGGAATAACTTTTCTGACCGCTGGACTGTACTGGAAAACCGCTTTTGAGCAAAATCCGACTTAAATTCAGTACCGCCGCTCTCCACCTTCCGGACTGCGAACTCGGGCTTTCTGCCAGGGTACTGGCGGTACCAGAGTAATTCATAAACATTGCCAGTATATGTGCAGGTTAAATAGACATCTTCTCCCGCTGTTTCCGTGAGTGAGGGATCCCGTTGAGTGACAGAAACTCCATCGCTAAAATCTGGAAGACATGGTTGGAGAAAGCAAGAATAATTGAATAAATTTTTCGTACGAAGTTCGAACTGACAGTTTAAAAAAACTCACATTTGCTGCAGAATGAAATTAGACACGAATTTGAACGCGAAATGAGAAAATAAAACACAAACAACTCCATTTGCCAGCGAACTCAGTTCTGAAGATAGCTTACAGGACCAGAATTTGATTTAATTCTGTTCTGTCCATGATGCTACCAGCTGTGTGGAGTTTTCCCAGTATTTTGTTTTATTTTGTTGTTCTTGTTTTCTATTTAACACCAGACCTTATTCAGAAAAAAAGAACTGGCCAATGTCCGTGTAGGCAATCCACACGAGAATCCAAGTTCACCCGTGTTCTAATCTTAGCAGCATGTCCAGCTTTCCATCTCTTCATCATCCGTTTAGCTGACGTCCCCTTCATGACGTTATGGTTTGATTCAAACACTCCTTAAGCAACCGACTTCCATATTCTAAAGGGAAAACGGGATTCCCTTAAGTTTTCGATTGGATCATGATTATGACTCCGATGAAGCATCACAGGGTGGATCGCACATTTCGAAAGCGATTATATCTTGGCTCTGGGATCATCACTCTAATCGCTCTTTTAAACGCTGTGTGTCACTTTCTTCTTCTTGCAAGATATAGAGTAGAACAGTTCATAATAGCCCAAGTGTAATGCAACCAATGTCGAATACGTCGTGAAAAGAATACTCGTTTGGTACACGCTTAGAGTTAGAGAAATTGAACCCTTTCCTTCAGTGTAAAACTTCTTACCGACAATGAATGTCAACGAGATCAGCATGAAAATGGGGAACTGCATCACTGCTGCTCTGATTCCATGGGTTTTCATTGTGTCACACAAACCTGCAACTGCAAATTATCAAGTAAAAGAGAGAGAAAATAACCTGAGATCATTGGCTAAGAGCGCCTGATGTCACTTCCTTCACAGCAAGCAGCTGCTGACACGGCATATGCTTGTTTGTGTGTCACGTTCGCCTCAAAGGTCGATGTATTTGGCAGAAACCTCACAGTCTGGTGTTCGGCGAAAGAAAAGAATAAATATCGACCGGTTTGTATTTAACAAAGCTGACAGTGCGTTCCTTAATCTGAAATATGTAACTCAAAGAAGTGGAGGTGCAATGCCGATGAAGGTCCTCAGCTAAATTCTACACAGTGACTAATCAGACCGGATTTATTGATGGATTAGGCTTTGACTGACTTCCCACCAGAGACGCACAGGTGATGTTTGTTAATTTCTGTAGAGACATACGGCTGTGGAATTATTTTTTCCATTCTCTTTCTCAGTGAACTTTTATGTCATTCGGTTCATTTTATCAAACTCGTTGTCTTTCATTGCCTGTACGTCTCTCTTCCATCCATTCCAGCTTTTCATGACGGTGTGTATTCTGGGGGGAGAAAAAAATCATCCACGTAAAAACACAACAAGAAGAAGAGTTTCACACTATTGATAAACAACACCGAATCAGGTTGAAGTAAAAGAAAGAACTGTGCATTTTTTGTATCTGAAACAAAGCGGAAATTGCTGCAGAAATTCAACAAGTCTGGCTGCACCTGTGGAGGGAAAGCAGAGCCAACATTTCGAGTGCAGTGTCCCTTCATGAGAAGCAAAGAGGGAACGTACCTGGTGCAAGCGGAGATTTCAGTATAAGATGGCGGCACAGTAGTTCTCTCCAGCCAGATCTCCTCTGTTTCGCCAATTCCTTTCCATTTTTTTCTTTCTTTTCTCTTCGTTTTTCTGCAGTTTTTCTTTTTTTCCCTCTCCCAACAACTTTTAACTTCTTAAACTTGCCTGCAGGAAATACAGAAAGGAGGAGGTGAACGTCAGTCCAGACCAGTGCGGGAGACGAGACAGAGACCGTGCCAGTGCGGGAGGAGAGCTCTGGAGACGAGTTCCCGACAGAGCTTTGTATGGGTGGAGGTCCGATGCCAAGCCGGACTTAGAGACAAGTTCAACTGGCGAGTCAACGGCGACTGAGGAGCACGGCGGGCATTCTGACTCCAGCTCGCCTGAAAGACGAGTCCTGGAGGCGAGTCGAGTGTCGGAGCCCAGTGCGAGAGCTCGTGTGAGCCTACAGTAGCCTTGAAGATATTTCCTAGAGGCAACTCCTGGTTGCAAAATCGCGGGCTGGAAACTGGTGACAGAGGGAGTCCTAATCGAATCCAACAGGGCAGGCAGCATCAGAGGAATGGGAAAGTTGATGTTTTGGGTCGAGGCCCTTCCTCAGAAAAGAAAGGCCCCGACCGGAAACGTCATCATTCGTGCTCCTCTGATGCTGCCTGGTCTGCCGTGTTCCGCCAGCTCCACACTGTGTTATCTGTGAGATCTAAACCTGTTTTTGTAATTAAGCCTGCCAATAAGGGTGGTGCTGTTGTAGTCTGGTGTACTGACATTTACAATGCAGAGGCTCGGCGCCAGCTTTCAGAAACCTCCTCCTACATTCCCTGGGCCATGACTCCACCATGACACATCTGGCCTTTGTATCAACTACAGTAACTGATCTTATTTCATCTGGTCACCTCCCCGCCACAACCCGTAAGCTGATAGTTCCCCAGTCTCACACAGTTCGCTTCCATCTCCTCCTATAAATACACAAACAGGACTGAACTGGCAGACCCATTGTTTCAACCTGCTCCTGCCCCACAGAACTGATCTCTTCCTACCTTCACTCAGTCTTCTCTCCACGTACATCCATGATTCCTCTGACGCTTTACGCTGGTGTCAAAATTTCCAATTTGCAGGCTTCAGCCTTCTATTCTTTACCATGGACGTACAATTACTTTACATGTACATTCACCACCAGGAGGGTCTTAGGTTTCACTGCGTCTTCTTGGAGCAAAGACATGAAACGATCCCACCCACTACCACCCTGCTCCGCTTCACCGAGCTCGTCCTTAGCCTCAACAACTTCTCTTTTAGCTCTTTGCATTTTTTTTAAGGTCAGATTATTGGAAATGCATACCTGCATTCACTACAGCCATCCCTATTTCTCTGTGGGTTACTTGAAACATTCCTTGTTCCAGTCCCATTCCGGCTGTCACCCACAACTCGTTCTCTGATACATCGATGATATCATCGGTGCTGCTTCCGTCTCTCGTCTGGAATTGGAAAAGTTCCTCAATTTCGCTTCCAATTTCTACCCGGCCCTCACTTAAAACTGGTCAGCATTTGACTCCTCCTGTCCCATCGTTGGATCTCTGCTTCCATTTCTGGAGATACAATGCACATTAATATCTAAGCGAGTCTCCGTAACGTCCACCTTCTTCCTCAGCTGAGGATTCCCCAACACCATTGTCACCAGCGCCCTCAACTTTGTCGGAACTACCTTCCGCACTTCCGCCCTCAACTCCTCTCCTCCCTCCCGCAACAGTGATAGGGTTCCCCCTGTCCTTATCTACCATCCTGCCAGCATCCACATCCAGGAGGTCATCAGACACCACTTCCGCCATCTCCAGCGAGATACCACCACCAGACACATAATCCCCTCCCCTCCCTGATTTTCTTTCCAGAGGTAACATTGCCTCTGGGACTCCCTGGTCCACTTTTTCTTCACTCCCAACAATCCCCACAGCCCGACGGCACCAACCCCTGAAACTGGCGATTGTGCAACATCTGCCCATTTACCCCCTCTTTCCCCACGATACAAGAGGCAAATCTACCTTCCAGGTGAAGCGTAACTTCACCTGCACTTTGCAGATTGCAGTCTGCACTATTGGCTGCTCACAATGTGATCTCATCTACATTTACAAAATGAAGCGTTGTCTGGGTGAATGCATCGCCGACCCTCTACCTTCAGCTCGCAACAAAAAGGATCCTGAACTTCCAGTTGTCTGCCACTTTAACGCAGCATCCTGTTTCCTGACCAACGTCTCTGTTTCTGACTTGCTGCAGTATTCCAGTGAAGCTCAACACAAGCTGGAAAACAACACCTTATTTTATGCTTGTGGACCCTGCAGCCCACTGGACTCAGTATTGAGTTGAACAATTTTAGCGCCTATACTCTCCCATGTCCTAAACCCCTCGCCCACACACCAGACCTTGATAACACGTAGCCTGCAATTACACACTATCTATTGTTAGTCACTAATAGTCAGATTGACAGCTATTCACCCTCTCAGCCAGATCGTTATCAACTCCTTCGTCTATCCAACTGCTCTTCTCTCTCTTCGGACTCTATACTTGATCCTATCCTTTATTACTTACCCAATCCCTCTCCCTGTTTTCTGCATATATACCGACGTTTTCCACAACTACCATCAGTTCTGAGGAAGGGTCATCGGACACGTCTGATTTTCTTTTTTCTTCACAGATGCTGCCTGACCTGCTGAGCTTTTCCAGCAACTTCTGCTTTTGTTCTCCACTTCCGCATACTTGTCTATTTGATTTTTTTTTTCCAAGTTGAAACATGTGAATTTAAACTGAATAATTTCTGTTCTGCCAAGCAGCTACTTTCGCAGAGAATTGAAACAGCACGATAAAGGTGACCTTAAAAAGCAGCTTTAATTTCCCATGGCGAATCAACTGGTACTGGCAGAAGCTGAAAGGCAACTAATGATTATTGTGCTAAAATAAAAGAAAGATTCTGAATGTAAAACATATTTTTCGAAATTCCATCATTTTGTCAATGTCAATTACATTAACTCATTCTGGGCAGCAACTGACATATTATTGTTTATTGGTCTACCTGAAAATTAATTTAGCTTCCAACATGTACAACAACCAGTTTTTAAATTAGGATATCTTTCGCTGAAGTCATTCATAACTGAGGCCAGAAGGACCACCACAAATTAATTTTGTCGAAATTTTGTAAGTTATTATATGTAAAATTGCAAAAAAATGAAATGTCTGTCTTCATGCAGACTATAATTCACTAAGCCGCCCACATCATCTGAACTCAGTTGGAAAAGTTTTGGCAGCTTTCGACACTAGAGGGCAGCCGCAATGACGTGGAGGTGCCTGTGTTGGATTGGGTGGACAAAGTCAGAAATCACACGGCACCAGGATCTACTCCAAACGGTTTATTTGGAATCACATCAGCTTTCTTAGCGCAGGCCCTTCGTCAGGTGCAGTAGCCACACTGGCCTCATCAGGGAGGTGGGTTAAATTAAGGCTTTCTGCACTTAGAATCAATTTGTTTCAACCCTGGTTGCAAGTAACAGTAACAATAGTCTTGCAGTCATTTTTGAGGTCGCTGGTATCTCACGAACTGGGATGACTGAGTACACACTGGCACACAGAGGTGCAGTTGAGCAGTCACCCTCCAGTCAAAATATGTAGGTATGTCATAATTGCATACCAGTCTTTGAAGCTGTGCTGCAGGCATAACAATTGAAACGTCTTTTAATATTTGGCGTGCTCTCAGGCAGGTTGACTGATAGTACCCTTCCTCTCGCTTGGAACAGGTAACTCCTCTCTCCAAAATATGGATTAGTTGGTGTGTCATCAAGTGGCAAGCCTGAGTGAACGTTTTTCCACACGCAGAGCACATCAACGGTCTCTCCCCATTGTAATTTATTGTTATGTTTCAGTCGTTTGAATGAACTACCGACCCCTTTTGACACTCATATCAAGTGAGTGCTCTCTCTCGCCAGTACGTGTCCGGTGGTGTCTCAGAAGGTTGGATTACCAAGTGAATTTCTTTGCACAGATGGAGTAGACAAACGGTCTTCACCAATATGCCTGTATCAGTCGTTTGCATTTCCTTAAAGTTGCAAAGGCTTTCCGGCCGAAGTATAATGGATTGCTAACATTTAACGTTCCTCAATCTTTTCTCGTTCATATTTCATGTGAACATAATAGCACGTTTACATG